AAGAGGGTGAGCATAGGTACATGTTAGTTCCCAAAATTAAGCATATTTTCCCGATATAAAGGATGTGGGACAATGTACAAGTGAATATTCTACTAGGTCTCTCACTTGTGAGTTCTTCCTGAGAAGCCCAAGCCTATATACGGACTCGGGTGCCTAAACCTAAATGACTGGGAAACGGGTACGTCATCGCACGGTCCCACATAGAACCCGCTCTGATACCACCTGTAAGAAATAACTGGTTTTGTACCGATTTAACAATTCTATTTTTGGTAAATAGATGACTTAGGAAATTCTCAGAACCTTTGTAAGGTGAATGAAAAATTAATTCTAAGTGCTATATGTTAATTAATTGAGTTTAAATAACTCAAAGGTTGTAGGGTTCACAAACTTTCTGTTTTGACAAACTAAACAAGTCATAATTATGCATTATGTATGCTAGAATTGTAGAATGGCTCGTTGGGGACGAGTAGGAAAAAACGAAACTCAATTCCGAGTCAGTATGAGCTCGTACGAGCCCACGGCGCACGGCCGCGCAACTGGCTGCGAAAATCAAAGGGTCGCTACCCTTGATGACCATAAGGTAACTTTTGGCCACTAGATACATCTGTTCTCGTTCGGGCACGTCCCAAAAGGTGTCTTTTGACACTTAAACCTCTTGGAGGTGTTTCTCTATATCTATAAATACCCATATACATGAAATCATTCCATATAGGAAAATTAGAGAGCTCTTGCATTACTTTTCAAAGATAATATAACATATTGTATTCTTTGATTTTTTTCATTAACTGTGGGTATTTTACGGGGCAATTTCGTATTAAGGATAAGGTAATTATTATGTGCCTCGACTTTGAATTTTGTTTTGTTTTCTTCATTTTCCTTAAGCCTTCTTTTTTATATTCACAAACCATACATACTACACCACCAAGACAGGAAAAGTCCAGATGAAGCCCAAGTAAAGTTTCATCTCAAAAACAGGTGGAACACGGGCGGAACTACATAGGGGCACGACCCCTGTAGAATTTCGTGTAATATAATATATATATATATATATATGTATAAATATATTATTATCTTTAACATAAAAATACATGTTATTGATTATTATGCAAAGTTATTTCAATATAAAAAATAAAATGAAAATATTTAGAATTATTTAACCTTTAATAGTATCTTATTTTTTAAGTTGTGGAACTTATGCTTATGATACTCAACTTTTTGTTTATTTCTTTTTCTCTCCCAAAATACATAAAATATCATATATCATACATAAATATATCTACTATACAGGTATTGAATCAAAATGCGTCTATTTTTAAATGAGAATGAGAGACTCAACTCTAGCTATTAAATAAGAAATAAAAAAACAAGATGTTTGGTCAAAATTTAATATTTTTATTTTTTTTAGTTGGTTAAATATTGATTTAACCGTTAACTTTCGTTTTTGACTGTAATTTGTGCCCCGTTGTTATTAAAGTCTGCATTCGCCTCTGAAGTGGAAGAAAGAGTAGCCCACAATAATATAAAAGGCGTGGTACAACTCACGTATTCTAATAGTTTGTATAAAATGAAGTTTCAAAATTAACTCTGGAATCTTCATAATCTGTGTACTGTTTGCTCTCTGTTTTTGGATTTTTCTTTTTAGATTAGTCGTAGTTTTGGGCATGTAGAGTTTTGACCAGCTTTACCTCTTATAAATTTGACAAGTGTGTGGTTCATAAATTATTATTTATATATATATATATATAGAAGAGTCCTAATAAAATTGGTGTTCAGGCTACATTAGATCGAATTAATTAGGTTTAATTAATTGTAAAATCTTATCTTGATGTGTCACTTGATTAATTAACTTGCTTATTGATTTTGTTTAATTGAAAATATAAAGGCAAAGTAGATGATAATCACATGATTAATAATAATAATAATACTACTTGCACAATTAACACTTGCGTAATTAATTATATATACGTACGGATGTTGAATTAAAAGACTATGAATGAAATTATTTTAAACTTTTAAAGCTTTTTCTTCGAAAACTACATTACTATTTATATTTAAATCAATGGAGATTTTTTTTTTTTTAAATAAAACTTCTAATTTTTCTAATTTTCTGCAAAATAGTAGTATTAAAGTTTCTCTTGATAGTTTCAAGTGTCCAACGAATCATGACTTTTTAATATTTATAAATATTGCTATTAGATTATATTATCTAATAATCATACTTTTTTAACTAACTTATTTACTTTCATAATCAAATGTTATACTTTAAAAACAATTATGTTATTTTATAATATAAAATAATTAATAAATTATTGTTGCGCACAGGGGCAGAGGTACACATATTGCTGCCTGGTCTGTAGCCCGGGTTGCCTCTCACGTCACATTAATTATATATATACATTATTCATTATTTAGTTGATGTATGAGATGTTTTTCAATATTCTAACAATATTTTATTAAATTTTTTCTGCTTGGTGGCTTATCAAAGATAACCGTATGAATAGGATGAGTATTATTAGAGATAATTACTTGAGATATTTATATTAAGATAATTACTTGGCAAGTTAATTATTAATGGGTATTTGTTTAAAGAAAATTAGGTTATGAGTTTATAATATTTTTTTTTTCATAATATATATTTTAGATTTAATTTCATTTAATTGTTTTATATTATATATTAGTACCCTAATAATACATTTCATTTATGCTTGAATATTCTTTTGTTTATTAATTTTATAATAAATCTTACTTATTTTATTTACTTCACGTTAAATAATTGGTGAACAATATTTATTTTTTATTTAGTAATACTTATTTATCAACAATTTTTAATCAAGATGTCTAGTAATTAGACAACCATACTTTTCAATATATTTATATATTCTTATCAAATGCCATAATTTATATTATATCATAAATAAAAATGTGAAAATTATATCATAAACATACATTTTTATAATAAAATTTAATTTTCTAACGGTAGAAGCCTAACAAAATTAAATTATTTTCAACTAAGCATTTATTTTGGATTAATCTTTTATTTAGTTTGTCATACTTACAATTCATTATTTATGTGGTAAGAGCAAGTTTCATGTGTAATATGCAAGTTTCATTACAATAACATAGCTCAGGGATAATTTCATAATTTGAATCCTAGCTCCGTCCTTGTTGCGCAACCGTCTATATTTGTTTTGTAAGAATATCATCAAAATAGAATGTCCAATCACATTATATGAATAATAACTCAACTGGTACTATTAATAATAACTAACAATGCTCATCTACCCACGGTGAACACATATTAATATGTCAACCGCTTATGTGACATGCACACATTAGTGATGTTAATATGTTCAAAAAATTACATCACCAATGTGTGCATGCCACATAAGCGGTGGGCATATTAACATGTGTCCCGTGGATAGGAGAACATTACTCTAATAATAACATAGATTAATATAGTGGTATTAAATTATTGTACAAACCGCCCAATATCTAACAACTACACCCAAATATATGCTTAATATAAATGATAAATACTTAAAAAATAAAAAACCGTTAATAAAATGAGCAAGTAACATTGTGGGACCCGCGCAGCCTCCGTCATCCTTGTTGGTTTTGACCCACGTGGCCAATAAAATTTCAATAAGACCACTCATTGTTGTTATTATTATTTATATAATACCACAAACTTACATCTCAAATTTTGGTAAATTCTGACTCTCACTGCGGAAGTTTAACCACGTATTCACACAGATAAATGTTACATAAAATTAGCTATTTCTCAGCTTCGGTTTGCCACCTCTATCATTATATGGAGCCATCAGATTGTTTTTTTATGGAGCCATCCATCACTTAATATAGTGACACCTGTCTAAATTGTATTTATTGTAGGACACGTGTCAATGCACTATTGATGATTAAGTATGGGTTGCTCCATAAGCCGAGCCATCCGATGGCTCCATAACAAAACTGATCATTATATTAAAAGAATAACCTTTTTATGATTTCCCTCCAAAATTATTATTTTTTCCCCAAATCATTAAATATCCGCCAAAATCATTATTTTCCTTCTAAAATCATTAAATACCCGTTAAAATCATTATTTTTCCTCTAAAATCATTAAATAAATAGTGATATAGTGTTAACAAAAAAACATCGGCACTGGTTTTTGTGATGTTTTTCTTTTTCCTATTTTTTTAGGTTAACAAAATAATACATGCGATGGTTTTTGTTATGTTTCTCTTTTTCATATTTTTTAGGTTAATAAAATAATAGATATTGTGTTGATTTGTTTTTCTTTTCATTTAAACTCTTTTTAGGCAGAAATTTCGAAATATTATATCTGATTTAATGTGTAGATATTTGTTTTTTTTTCCTGTTTTTTGATTGGAGGTGTTTATTAATTAGCCTTATAATATTTTAGTTACTTTAAACAAATTGTTTAGACATTTGTTTTTTACATATTCGTCTATATATACACATATACACATATACATAATTGGTGTTAAATTTAATTATTTGTAGACATACTTTTTTTACAAAATAGTCTAGATTTTTTTTTTTACATAATATTAAATTCAAATGTTTTTATATATGTTTTTTTTCTAAAATTTTTTAGAAAAGTTGTAGGTGACTTCATATCTTTTAAAAATAATATAGAAAATTTTGAATACTTTTACATATAATAATATAATATTTTAGGTATTTTTAATATTAAACATACAAATATACAAAATAATGTAAAATTTATATTCTCTTATACAGAATAATTTTACATTGTCTGACCCTGACACTTTAATATATAATTATTATTGTTTTCTTCCTCTTTTTAAATAGGATCAATAGTAGTTTTCACTTCCGTCATTGAGTGACTCAAACTCGAGGTATATTTATAATATTGTTAATGTAATATTGTTACCGTGCATCGCACGGGGTACGCACTAATTTAATAAACGAGTCAAGTTCAAACTCGATAATTAAAAATTAAAAATAGATTTTTTTTTTTATTTTTTTTTTATCTTAACTCGAGTTGTTTTGATTCGAGCTAACTTGTTAATATATTAGTAATCAACCCGAGCTCAACCTTGTTTAGTTCGCAATTCAAATAATAGAGTTAGAGTTAGAATTTGATTCGTTAAAATTGATAAATAACTAAAATCTGAGTCTAAACTAGGGGTGAGTATCGATGCGGTTCGATCAAAAATACACCGCACTGAAAAAAAAAAAAGAAAAAAAGAAAAGAAAACCGAATCTTTAAATTTTTTTTTCACTGAACCACACCGCAACAGAAGAAAAACCAAACCAAAACGAACTGAAATTGTGGATCGGTTCGGTATTGTTTTTCGGTTAACCGTAATAAAAAATAGATACCCACCAATTAATGTAATGTAAGTAAAAGTATAAGAATTAAAGTGATACTTTATTTTTTATTAAAAAAAAGTGAGATTTTATGAAATTTGATGCGGTTCGGTTAAAACTGCACCCACCATTCAGACAGAAAACCGAATCGCACCGAAATATTTGCGCTTTTCCAAATCCAAACCGCACTGAATAGTTCGATTCAGTTTGTTTTTCGATTTCGGCTCGGTTTTGCTCAAACTCAAGTATTTTTATCCCATTAAAAGTTACAAACTCAATAAAACACTGCCAACACGTGTAGAATGAAATTCACCTTCATTCTTTTATTATTCCCTATTGTTTAAAAAAAAAATCAAATTTCCCTATCATACATGGGCTGACATTTTCTTTTTTCTTTTTTTTTTTT